AAATTCCTAGCTTCATCATGGTTCTGAGTGGCAAAGAGGGACTTTGATGTCCCCATGACCTCCAGTCACTGACCTGGCCGTTGACGTGCTGAAAGCTTATCAAGAAGGAACACACACGCCTCCAGATTCTCTTGATGGTAAACTGCAAGTAAACTTCAACTCCAAGTCATATGAAAACAGCCAAGCTTGGAAATGACAGCTGAGTGGTTTCAAGTTAAGCGGCCCAGTAGTTAGGATGGGACAATGGTTTGGCTGCAACAAACTGTAGTGATAGAACATATATTTGTCGTGCTTTGCTTCTGATCTTCTGCTCCAAGGATGAGGATACTCTCCCAAGGGGGAAAGAAAAAAGGAAGAACTGGGTAGAAGAAAACAGACTTCACCCATTACTGAAATATTTCATACCCAAAGCACAACCACCCTGAGAGAAGAACATGGTGGTGGCTCTTCACAGTCACCTGATTAAGGGGCTTTGGTTTGGTCCTGACTCAGAGAGAAATACAACACCACTGAGAGGCCCCCCCACAGCACCTGCACACTCACAGCCAAGCCTGGGCTTGGCCCCAGTGTACATATGAGAAAAGATGACTGCCAGAGCCACCAAGAGGGTGGCAGGCTTGCTGTTGCCAGGTCCACTCACATGGATCACAATGGCTGCATGAGGTCATGGAATGTTGAAGATGAAATGAAAGTGGCTCCTAAGTCACAAAGTTGCAGACAGGTGGGCATCCTTTCGACAAGGCTCCCAAGAATAGAGCTGTACCATTCTCCCTGATCCCAGGAAGTAGCTACCTCTCCCAGACAGAGCTGGGGTCAAATTCATGCATGTCCAATTCCCACCAAAGCCCACTCTCCCCAGGGCTTTCTGGGATGGAAGGGTAACTAGAGGCCTCCCCTGGGATTTGTCTTTATGAGGGCAGAGTGCACAAAGTTTGAGACAGAGGTGAATGGACAGGTGTGCTTCTTAGTGAAACAGCAGAAAGGTGGCAAGAAGCTGGCAGCAGCCCCCAGGAGGGCCTTGGCACCATGGACAATGACGAACCTCTTGAGCCTGAGACAACAGGTGAAAAGGCATCCCATCTCTCACCACTCTGGCCCTATCAGGCCTCCTCAGTATGATACCCAGTGATCACATGAACCCCAAATCCCCTTCCCTCCTCACTCGGGACCCTCTAGACTTGAGATGACATGTTACATTGACTTGGCTTTAGGTCTTGCCAAACAGGGAGTAAGAGAGTTGAATGCAATGTCATGCTGGAACTGGCTACTACCAGCTCTAGTTGACTTTAAAGTTTATTTTTTGAGCTGGTCAGTGTCGCATTGGTGGTTTGAAATCAGCAATGCGTGAACATTTACACCACTGGAATTGGCTAACACTACACATCAGGATTTCTTTTTTTTTCTGGAGAGCAAGTTAAACATTTACCAACATTCCACTGGTTGGATGGAATCCTAAAATTGTTTGACTAATGAAGAAATTAAGACTCAGAAAGTTATCACTTCTTGATGACTAAGCTTTCTGGCTAAGCTGCTATATGTCTTGTAACTGTCAGGCCACTAGCCACTTCCACCACTTATCACACAGACCTTGTCCCACAGACTAGGAAATAAGTGTTGGCACTAGGGTCTATGGACAAGGACTAACAAAAACACGTATCTGTGTGGACTCATTAGGAACCCTACTATCTTAGCACCTGGGTGGTCAAAACTTGGACTTCTGCCACGAGTAGCCCACCTAAAGAGTAGGTTGGCCAAGATCTGACAGCCCACCTGGTGGTACAGCATGGCTTCCTGTTGATATGGGAGGACAAGCTCTGGACCTTTGTGTGTGGCTTTCAGGCACCCACAGCTGGTCCCCGATCAGTGGCCCAGCAGCAGAAAAAAACATGCCTAACAAGTGCAGGGGACTGGTGTGAGGAAAGCTCAGGCAATGAATTTCAACCCCAGGGATTTTGCAAACCCTTCCTCCTTCATGGTCATAAAATAAATGTTAGGCTGGGAGGAGGAAAAGCTGGGTCAAATCCAGTTATTCCTCTCACCTCCTGGGACTGTTACTGTTCCAGTATATTTTACATTTGACCCAAGTTGCCTGCCCTGCCCCTTGTCCTCCCCAGCATCACGTGTGCCTGCCAATGAGGGAGCCTAGGCATTGGCACACATCCTTTCCCCGAAAGAGTAAAGCAGACTCTGAACCCCACCCATGCCAGCAAGAAAGAGAAGAGGGAGCAAGAAACCAACGTCCACAGCAGGCACACGAAGGAGAAGGGCAGAGTAGCGAGTCTGCAGAGGACTGGACGAGGAGTTAGCACAAGACCTCCCGTATGATTTTGCCGGGAGGCAGCAGTGTCAGGGAGGCAGGGCTTGCAGAATGGAGTCCCTTGGCACCTTGAGCCACATGAAGCTGGGGACAAAGGCTGAAGCCAAGACCTGAGATGCAGAGGAGAGGAACAGAGGTAGAGGGAAGCCATAGGTGGCTCTACCTGAAAGGCAGGCAGGCTTCGTTTCCAAAATCAAGGAGATGAGTTTTTCTTCCAGATGAGACTGAAACCCAGCCACTACCACAGAGCAGTGATGAATTGCTCTACTGTGAGGCTGAAGCCCCCTCGGCTGTTGAGAAGGAGAAAGCAGCCCGGGAGAGTTCAGAAACAGACCTCGAGATTGAAGGTGAGATTGAAGGGGTGAGAGGGAAGCTTACCTCCTTCCTCAAGCTGGAGAGATCTGGTTTCCCCAGTTGCCCGTGGCTCTTCCTGACGGGTTGTCCTGCTGGGAGAAGTGGCAGAAACACCTGTGCTCAATTTTGTGCCACATCCTCCTCAAGTCTGGCCTGGTGGCAGCAGCTGCAGCTGCCCCATGCTCACGGCCTGGCTCATGAGCAGAGTGGTCACATCAGCTTGTTGAAAGCTGAACCAGCAAATGAACAGGGATTTCTGGTGTTCTAAATGTTCCTACATGTGGCATCTTACTTCATCTTTGCCATAGTCCCAGGAGGTAGGCATTATCACCCGCCTTGACAGAGGAGGAAGCTGAGGCCTAAAGAGATTGTATAAGTTTCCAAAGGCCCAGGAGAGCTCACCAGTGTTCGCTGATCCCATGTCGCCCAGCTCTGCCAATCCGCCTCCTGTATTCCATATTCCAGGGGCCCCTGGAGTGTCTGTGGCCCATCCTGCATCCCGGTGACTTTCCCCTACTCACGTTAGAGTTCTCATTCCCCTGCTTGAGAGCCACATGGAGGGAGGGGGTGAGGGCTGGCTTAGTCACAGCAAAGACTCACTTACTGCAAATGACGCTTCTGCCCTCTTCTCCCTCCTAGTTTCCCCAAGGAGGACAGTGTCACCAAGAATACTTGTGAAGCAAGGGAAGAACAATGCTGGCCCCACCTGGTGGGCCAGCCTCGAACTTCCCAGGCTGAGGCTAGTCCAGTGCCTCTTCCTCTCCTGCGTTCTGACAGCTGGGTGATAGGCAGTGATCAGAGCCCCTAGAGACGCAGGGGAGACTGTTCTGCCAAATTCAGATGCGAAGTTCCTAGATACTATCAGCTCATAACCTCCCCACCTGTAGTGAACATGCAACTTACCCTCCACACAGACGTCCCTCCTGCCACCCCACCCCCCCCCCGCCCCCACCCCCCCGGGCATCTTGTTGCTCTTATTTTGACTTCTTTTCCACTTCGAGTCGGCTTCTAATGTTGCTTTCAACACAGAATTTTACCTGGTTGGAGCTGGCGACAGGTAGAAACCCTGAATATTTTGTCCCAGACTTCTGCTTCTACTCGATCCCCTCCTCATCCCTCACTCTCTGCAAGGGATAACACTGTTACAAGCTGCCTCTAAAATATAAGCAGAGTGAATACAGCTTAGAAGGGGGTCAGCAGAATCAAAGAGAGCAGAAATAGTGTCAAGGACAAAGCTGGGGGTTACCCAATGTTTGAACTTGACACCAACAACTCTGTGCTGGGACAGAAACTCAGGCTCAGCGGCTCCACTCCAGCTGGTGCCGAGATGCTGGGAATGTGGCAGGAGGGGCTTCCTGGGACCACCTGAGACATAAGCCTGGGAAGGAATAGCACGCGGATGGGGAGGCTGCAAAAGAGGGAGAGAAGAGAGCGGAAGTAGTTCATCCCCCTCAGGCTGTTTCTCCTATACAAACAGGGTTGTCCCTCAGAGGTGACTTCGCACCCCAGGGGACATTTGGCAAACTGGGGTAGAGGGATGCTACTGCCATCTCATGGGTAGAGGCCAGGAATCCTGCTTAATCTCCTAGTCTGCACAGGACAGCCCCTCACAACAGAGAAGTATCCAATCAATAGCGTGAGTTTGAGAAACACTGCTCCATGACTATCACAAAGACAAGACCAATTTGTAACTGTGCCTGCAAAATCAACTGGCTTGTCAAGTTGTCCTATCACCAACAAAGCTCTTATTGTCCACCTCTGAAAGGTTTGGGTGGGTGGGTCGGTCAAAGGCCCTGGGATCTGAAAGAAAAACAGATGCAGGTTTCCACTCCAGCTGACCATGGGAAGCTCTGCCATCGACGGGGCTTGCCTAATGAAGACATGGCTGCGGGGCCACCCAGGATCCAGGCAGACCAACTGCCCACTGCCCATGAGCCAGGCTGGTCTCAAGCCTATGGAACAAAGGCCCCAGGAGGTTGAAATGGAGCAGTGAAGTCCCCAGTTCTGTTAGCTGGCTTTAGCACTGATCAGCTGTGTGTGATTTTGGGCTAGATTTGTCATCAGTAAAATAGGGATGACAGTCCTTTTTGGAGAAAAAACGACAAGCAGGTCTTTGAAAGAGGAAAGCCCACTCGCATGAAGGTCTCTAGTAGATTTGGGGGTCTCTCCATCTTGCTCTAATATGCCATCTTGAGGAGTCCCCTATGTCCTACTTGGGCTTATTAAAGTTGGCACATCTCTAAATCTTTAGCAAGCTTTACTTTGGGCTCTTATTTTAACAGTGGTAGCAAAACTAAAACTGAAATGGAGACTCCCTCAGCCATTACAGATCACCAGCTTTTCGTCTCTTCAGACTCTCAGAGCTGTCCCAAAGTGAGCAGGAGACCTAGGCCTTCACACATCCTTGGTCACTGGACACAGCCAGCCCAGGAGAGTGGGGGTGGAGCACTCTGCTCCTTCTCTGAGGAAAGCATGGGGCCTAAAACCAGGGGTCTTATCTCTTACCCAAAAGGCAAAATCCATGTGAAGCTTTCTGGAGTCAGGGTCTCCTCTCCCACCGCTGGCTGACTTCCCAGTTGGTATTGCCCTCTAGGGCATACACCCACAGGGACAGATCCTCAGAAGCAAATGTAGCCTGGGACGATAAGGCAAAGACAGAAGAGAAACCCCATTTAATCTGTATTTTTTTTCTGCAGATACTGAGAAATTTTTCACCACCGGACAAAAAGAGTTGTACCTGGAGGCCTGCAAACTGGTGGGCGTAGTGCCTGTCTCCTACTTCCTCCGGAACATGGAGGAATCTTATGTGAACCTCAACCACCACGGGCTGGGCCCCAACGGTACCAAGGCTATTGCTATAGCCCTGGTGGTGAGCATGCCAGTGGGAGCACACAGGCCTGGCAGAGATGGGGAGTTGACAGGTGGTGGGCCCAAGCATCAGAGAGACCCCTAGGGACCCTAAATTGTATCCTTTATGCCCACCCTGCCCTACCTAGGCTCTGCTTGACTGCCAGTGGATTTCTCCAGTAGGTCCTGGGAAGGAGGCTGCTAGAGACCTGGGCCTTGGAAGTCTATGCCCTTTCCTATTCAGGAAACAAAGGCACCAGCCTATCAACCCCCCAAGAACTCCCCAAAAGTGTGCTAATGCGAGGGCACCATGCAAAATGTCAGTCTGGGTCTCAATTCCAAAACTCACTCTTGCTATAAATAGGTTCACTACTGAGCCATTCCATTCAATGTCTGCCTTTTGCAATGCTACAATTCTTAAGGATCACACTGTAGAGTGGATCATGTTTTCCCACAGGAATAATGTTCTCTCTCCCTCTCTCTCTTGTCCTGGCATGAGCGAACAAAGATTTGACCTTGAATTCATCATAGCTTGATATAATTATAATTATTATATACAGAACTGACTCTCATCCCAAGAAAAGAGAAAATTTAACAACTGTATGTCAGCACTATGTTGTTTGTTTACTTAGGACAGTGAAAAGAAAGTTTGATTTAAAAAAGAAGTACTCATTTTTGTAAATGTAGCTCATTTAGCACATGCTAATTAAGAAGTTACATAAAATGTGAAATTGTGCTGCTTTCTGGGAGAGGGGAGGAAAGGAAAGGAAGAGCAGAGAAGGAACAAAGCCATCTTGAAGTTTATTGAGCGTTGAAAGACTGATTAATGAAGTGTTAGGAATGCACCATTACCTCCTGAGGTTCATGAAAAAAAAAAAAAGATAATAATGAAATCTTCTCAGGACTTGGGCCACGTGTTTCTTAGTGATATCAGTTTCTGTTTGGGGGCAGTTTTTTCTGCCTTGATTTTCTATATCATTCATTAGACAATCACTGTGACATTCTGGTGGACTGAAGTTTTATTTCTCTTTTGTACTGCTTAACTTTTCACATGTCGTGTTTCTCTGACTTAGATTAAAAGCACTCTGATAGTAGGATCATATTTCACATTTCTTCACATCTATTCCTCATCCACCTGTCTCCATGCTCTTGTACCTGGTGGACTGTGGGTCTAGAAGACCAGTGATATTCTTTGTTCATCTGTTTCCCCAGCAAGCAGCACAGAGAGTGACCGGTAGATACTGGCCCATGTGAGATGAATGTTGATGGACTCGGGGAAGGGGCCACCTGCTGTATCGCACACTATGCTGGTCTGTAGGATGACTCTGGAAGTGGTCATCTCATTCCTAATTCTGGACCCTGCCAAATGACACCTAGACTAAGAGGCCACCTGAGCTATCTTGCTTGCCTCTAGCATGATAGAATTTTGCCCATTCCAGAGATCTGAGGCCAGAAGGCAGGTCTGGCTTCATCTCATGAAGGCCCTGGGTGGACCATCCAGCATTACAATAGCTGGAACTATTACATTTTCCCTTTTCCTGGAACTAGAGCTCCTTAGTGCTTGCTTTACTCACTGCTTGGTGCGCTCTGGAAATGCTCACATTTAAAGATGTGTCTGTTCTCTGTGCCGTTCTGTACTGGGAATGAGGTGGGGAAGGGAAGGATAGAAGTTCTGGGTACAGCTATCCCCAGGTCTTCAGGCTACATTACCAGTCACTTCCTCCCTGTGGGAATGCAGACTAACTTAGATATAGATTATTTTAGTCCCCATGTCTCCAAACAGCCTTGAGGCAACATCCTAACTGAGAGGGTACCAGATAAGCTTGAAGCCTAAATTAGAAGAAAGGATTTTAAGGGAAGCAGGCATAGCAAATGCTTTATGCTTAAAGCCTTGTGCTCAAATACCCTTATTAAATGTATCAAGTTCTCTTTAATCTAGGTCACAGGCCTCTCTCCTCCAGGCTAAATAGTTAAAATCTGTTCTGCTCAACCTGTACCTCTTACTTTTCAGGGCTTTATTTTAATGTCCCCCTTCTAAACTCCCCTGCAGAGCCCCTTTCCATGGAGGTGTCCAGAATAAGCATATTATCCTAGCAATATGCTTATATTTTACATTTATATTTTATATGCATATTTATATGCAATTAATTTAATATAAAATATAAATTATAATTTAATTTATAATTATGAAATATAAAATATAATTAATATTTTAAATTAAAATATAAATTAATATGCATACAAATATGCATATAAAATATAAATGTAAAATATAAGCATGTTGTCCTAGCCATCAGTGGGACTGCTCATCTCCTGCACTCTTCTCCTGTTCCTATCTACTCCAGAACTGCTAGCCTCTGACATGGCTTGAATGTTCAAGAGAGGGGACAGGTTCTGGGCAAGGACAGGAAACTGACTAGGTCACCAACCACCTCTGTCTCTCTCTTCCTCTCCTCGTGGCTGAAGTCCAACACAACTGTGATCACCCTGGAGCTGGCGGACAATTGTATTATGGATGAGGGCGTCCTGAGTCTGGTGGAGATGCTACAAGAGAACTATTACCTCCAGGAGATGGTACTGCCCCCCACTCTGCTCATTCCTACCACCACTCCTGGGGGCTCAGGACCCACTCGAGATAAGCCAGAGGCCCCTGCCTGAGTCCAGGCCGACCTAAAGGCTTTCTGCAATGTATCTAGGGGCACTTCTCCTCTAGAAGGGACTTCTCGGAGGAAGGCCACACACCAGATGCTGGCCAGGGGGACTGTGTTCCCTGTGGCTGTAGGTAACCCTAAGAAATTCTCCTTCTGGACCTCATGAGCTCCTAAATAGATGAACTTACTTCTGTATAGGTCCCTTAAAGTGAAATTAAAATTTAAAAAGATGCAAAAAAATTTCATAAAATATAATGTCCCTGGAGAGAGATGATGGTAATGGTTACATACAATATGAATATACCTGAGACCATTAAACCGTACACTGAAAAATAGTTATGATGGTAAATGTTATGTTATGTCTATAGTTGCCACAATTTAAAAAAACTGAGAAACAATTAAGATAGTAATGGCTGGTTTATATAAATTCCCTCTCACTAGCCTGAAAGGACTATGTCCATTTATATCCCTACTTCTTCCTAACACAGCGATTCATGCTTCATGAATCGACAAATAGAATTTATAATGATGATTTCCTCTAAACTCATTTTCCAATTGTTTTATGCCAAACTCTTAGTTTGTCTTGGCTTAAAAAAAAAAAAAGAAAGAAAAAAGGTCACAATGTGCTTATCTAAAGTGCTAGGGCTAAACTGGGGAAATGCGATGGCCTTGAAGCTGAGACCAGCCTGAGAGCCTCCCAACTAGGCATTGAAAAAGTAGTGTTCCGGTCTCGCTTCTCTCCTGTGCACCACCCTAATCCTTCCCATCCTTTCACCCCAGACCCCCTCTCCCCACCTGGACCCTCCTGCCTCAGTGTAGGCCCCGACTCAGCTGCACTCTGACATCACCTTTGGTGGGATTTGTAAATACATAAGTGTTTCCTTGCCTTTTAGAATATTTCCGACAATGCTCTTGGTTTGGAGGGGGCCAGAATTATCTCAGAGTTTCTCAAGAGAAATACCTCTTCACTTGTGAACCTTCAGCTTTCAGGTGAGCCCATGGGAGAGGAGGGAGAGGACATTGGGAATGAAAAGGAGAGAAGAAGAAAGGGAAGGGCAGAGAGAATCAGGGTCTAACTGAACCAGACCAGGCCCTTCTGATTTCAGAGACCAGAACGCCATGTCTACAGCCTGCTAAATTCTTCCAGTCATCCTTTCCCCTTCTCCATGGCTACACTGGCTTCCAGCTGTCCTGCAAAAGTGACTTCTGAATCACTTTGCAACATTCCTTCCTCTGTTTTAAAGTCTCTTCCTCCAAATATCTCTGCGTGACTCGCTCTCTCTTCATTCATGTCTCTGCTCAAATGTCATCTCCTTAGGGCTGTCATTTTCTCCGACCACCCTGACAAAGCAGCTCTCCATCACCATTACTCTCTATCCTGCTTCTCTTCTTGGTTTTCTTTAATGGTATTTACTACTACCTGACCCTATTATACACTTATTTTTAATTAGTTTGTTATCTGTCTTACGGAAAAAAAGTCACTTGAGAATTGTAGTACCTATAAACCTTCCCTAACTCAGGATTATGGATTGAATTTATACTATCTGCAGGGTCCTGGAATCTCTAAGGCAAGAATAGCACATTTTATAATTAACATGAAAAGTTCTCCTATGCTGGTAATACCTTGTAGCATACAACAGAAATAAACATAAAACCTCTTTGAAGGAATAACCCTTCGACCCAAGCTCCATGCTGGTTGGGATTCCCACAGATAAAGCTCCCCTAAAAATGGGCTCACAATCCAAAATTGCAAAACAAGGAAACAAAAATACCAGGAGAGTTATTGGATATAACAAGTGGTCACATCATGCTCTCAAGAACTTCAGAAAATAGAACTATTAGATATACGCTATATAGTGAGTGACCATATAATTTATACTCTAAACATCATAGGAGTATTATTAATTAACTGAAACTGCAAGCAAACAGATATCTCTTACCCAACTATAAACTATGTTTAATATGATTAAAAAACAAAAATAAAAGCATACAAGTACAAATTACTGTTTTTAAAAGATCGCCCCCCCCAAAGTAGAATGAAATGAAAAATATGTAATAATTGAAATTAAAGACTCAATGGATAAATTCAACAGCAAATTAGATACAGGTGAATAAAATTAGTGACCTGGAAGACAGATAAAAGGATATTTTATCTATCTTTGCAGTATGAAAAAGATATAGAGAACATAAAAAAATAAAACTATATAAAGGAATGAATAGACCCAATATAGCTAACAGGAGTTCCAAAAGGAGAAGTGAACAGATGAGCAACAATGTTTGAACAAATAATAGCTGACATGTTTCTTGAATTGCTGAATTCTAAAATTACTGAATTTTATACATTGGCTGGCTCGTTATGTCATTTTATCACACTAGTACCAGATGCAGCCAAAGAAGTATTTGTGTTTCAGTGGGTGCATTCATTCATTGATTCAGCATGTTATTGTGCACCTGTTATGTGCTAAGCACAGTAGCACTATTTAGGTGCTAGAGATACAAAGGTTATTAAAAGTTCAAAGGAGAAATTTAGGAATAAGTTTCTGTGTCATTTATTTCCCAGAAATCTTTTAGACTGTTTAGCAGGACAAGGGACTAGGGTAAGAAAAGGCAGGCACTCATCTCGGTTGCACCATTTAAGAGGCACCAAAAAGCTCAGCAACTAAGTAAATAATATCTTGATCAACATTTTTTAAAGTCTAAATTAAAGCAAAAAACATCTGGATGAACACAATATCAATACTTTGAATGAAAAACAGGATCCAAAAGGAACAGTTTGGGATGAGATGAGTAAGGCTTAGCCATGCAAGTGCAGGGTCAGATCCTGCCTTTATTTAAAATTTAAAAATTTTGTTCATCATAGATGTTTTTGCATTGACTTTGATTTTTTAAAAAATATTAAAATACTATTCATTGTGATGACTGAGCTTTTCAGCACCCCTGAGAAGGCAAGGGTCTCACTTGTTCCCATCTGGTTCTACCTTGCTACTTAGACTAGATTAGCATTTTATATGTTACCAACTTTAGGCACTAGGCTAAGGGCTGACACTGCCAGTGATGCACAGGGAATGGTGTACCAAATCCTGGGACTCCCTGGACAGTCATGCTACAGAGAGAAGGGGATGGTAAATAGTTGCCTTTTCCCCCCTGTTTTCTTCAATGTCCATAAATTTGCTTTAAGTACTGACTACTTTTTATACATCTGATTGTCCCAAATGAAAGGGACTGGCAGAACTAGGATATGGGAGGGTAAGGGAGCCCTAGTCTGGAGAGCATTGCCAACGCCCACCTTCACCACAGGAAATAACTTCAAGGACGAAGCCGCAGAGCTGTTCTCCCAGGCCCTGTCGGTAAGAGGCAGGGGGTGGGTACACCCGAGCCATGCGGGAGATATCCCTGGAGATCTGGGATATGTGGGGTGGCTTGGGGGTGGCTCTGGGCATAGGGAAATGAGGTTACTTGCACGGTTTAGGGAGCTGGTGAGTGTTTAGACTCTGATGATCCTGGCAAAAGCAAGAGCAAATGGTAGGGTTGTTTTGGATGGCATTAAACTCTCCCAGCTTTCACCAACAGTTAAACAGAAAATGAACAAGAAATTGTCTTCAGTGTAAGAACCCCAGGCCACCCAATTTGGGGTACAGGCGACCCCTCCATCACACTGCCCCAAGATAAGTGAGATGTTTGCAGCCACATGGAAGACCCAAATTACCTCTTTCTCCACTGTTTTGTTTTGTTTTTTCTTTTTTTTTCTCTAGGCCAATTACCGAATTAAGGCAGTGGATCTTAGTCACAACCAATTCTCTGATAAGGGAGGGGAGTACCTGGGACAGATGCTGGGTGAGTCCCCACAAAGCGGGGTGGGCAGCAAAGGAGAGGGACTTGGTAGACAATCATTTGGCGGAGCTGCATCTCCTGTTTTTTAATGTTATTGAGTGTTCTAGTTACAAAAGTGCTATAAACCACACCCGAAATACATCTTCAATGTGGGAAGTAAAACTTGAAAGTGATGAGGATAACATTTAGCGAATAACCTGCTGACCTCAGGGAGGCTAAGTGTTATTAAATATGAGCGATGAGTATAAAATGTAACAAAAATGATTCGTATATTTGACAATAATAGGTTTAAAACTTGTGTATGATAAAAGACATTGTGGGGTAATGTAAAGGACAAGCAATCACTGGGAGTAGATATTTGCAGCATTTATATAATATAAAAGATTAGTGTTCAGATCCTACAGATCAGTTAGACAATGATAAGCATTCCAAGTAAAACAATGGTCAAAGCACATGGACAATGAAAAAAGAAAGCCAAATGCCTAACCTCTTTAGTAATTAGAGAAATGCAATTAATAAAACAACAGAAAGATCACCTTTGTCATCTACCAAAGCTGCAAAATTTTCAAGTCAGAGAGTATCCAGTTCGGTAAACACAAGGGAGAAATAAGAAATAACAACACTCAGAAACTGCTAGGTAAAGGCACTTTGGAGAGCAATTTGGCAGTATTTAGTAAAATTGAAAATGTATATATTCTAGGCTGCAGCAATCTGCTGTACTTATCTCAGAGAAGCTCTCAAACATACACAGAGTGCTATCTGAGGAGGATCACTGCAAAATTGTTATAAAAGAAAAAAATAAAAATAACCTAAATATTATTTAGGGGAAGGCACTGTTAGTTTCTTCCAAAAAGAAACAGCCATGCTAGGTTCTGGAAGCTCAGCATTCCAGGCAAAAAGAACAGGCATATTTGGGGAACATGAGGGGCCAGGGAGGCTGGAGCAGAGTGGGCAGGACAGGAGAATGGAAGGATAAGTGGTCATCAAGGTGGCCTGTTGCCACTCAGGTCAGTCTTTGTGGGCTTGGATATGCACCAAGTCTGGAGTTTATTCTACGTGTGATGAGAAGTCATTGAAGGATGCGGGAGTGGGGAGTGACGTGGTCTGATTTGCACTTTAAGAACTGCTGTATAAAGAATACAACTGAGAGCTAGAATGGAAGAAGGGAGGCAAATTAGGATGCTGGTATGGTGGTCTAGGCAAGACAGGAAAATAGCTTGGACTAAAGGAGCAGGTGGTGATAGAACAGAGTGGATGGGTTCAGAGTATATTTTGAAAATAAAGCCAAAAGGACTTGCTGACGTGAAGAATGAGGGAAAGGGAGAGATGAAGATAGACCAATGGTTATTTTTCTCAGCAACTGGTCGTGTCCCTAAAACTCTCTGGATAGAAATTCTGGAGCTACCACTGCTCCCAAACGTCCCTGTGAAAAAAGACAGGGACATGGGGCATTACATCACATGTAATGCCTGGATATGCTTGGTGCATATCCAAGCATTACATGTGATGTAATGCGCCATGCCCATCACAGCCTCTCTCTGTAAATACAACCCCTGTTTCCCATGCTATCTGCATCTACTTTAATGGCTGCAAAATAGTCCACCAAATGGATGTCTTTCCCCCTCCCCAGCACTTATACAAGCCTTACTTGTATAAGTGCTGCCATGGCAAGCATCTACAAGTGTGTAGCTCTTCTCACATCCTGTCTCCTCAGGAAGATTCTCAGAGGCGACACTGCTGTGTGATGGGTTATACCGATTTTAATGGGAAAATATTTCTGACCAGATGATATTTGCCAAATAGATTGCATAAATTTGCTTACCACCTGCAGCGTATGAGTATAGTTATTCTGCTTCATCACTGCCAGCATTGGGAATCATCTTATGATTTTGTGTTTAAGTGGATAACTAAAAAAAAAAAAAAAAGTTACCTTGGTGTTTTACTTGGTGTGCTCTCTGAGCGATCCTTACCCCCAATGGCATGGCTACCTGCCAACTCCGAGAGTGAGTTCTCTGGGATGTGGGGGATGCGAAGTTGACTCCCTCTCTCCTCCAGCCCTCAATGTAGGGCTCCTGTCGCTGAATCTGAGCTGGAATCACTTCTGCACACGGGGAGCTGTGGCTTTGTGCAGTGGCCTCCGGGTAAGGCGCTCCCTGGGAGTGGTGTGTTGAGCCCAGGTGAGAACAGCCAGGGCCTCTGGTTCCACCATCTCAAACCTCTTCCTGATGGTGACCCCTGACGGCAGTGGTGGGGGGGTGCTGTGCTCTTATCAAGGGCTCTTCACATTGTTGGCCTCCTTCCCACAATTTCTGGATGTATGTATTCTTTAGTATAAATTCTACCTGGGCCTAAGTGGCATCTTTGGGGGTACTTCGAGAGAGCATTTTAATTATGGGGTATGGAAAGCCAAGAATCCAAAAAGGATGAGTCTCAAGAGAACTTGAAATTCTGAGCTCAGCTGGGAGGGATCTGGAAAGATCTGGCAGAGATCTCTTTCTCCTGGGGACCACTGAGCTCCTAGTCTGAATGCCAGCAGGGGTTAGAAATTGGGGCGCGTTTGGCTGGAGCTGTCACATGCAACCTTCTCCCCTCTCCCTGGAGACTAATGTGACCCTGAAGACACTGGATCTCTCCATGAACGGCTTTGGGAACGAGGGCGCTGCTGCCCTAGGAGACGTCCTCAGACTCAATAGCTTTCTGGCCCATCTAGATGTTAGCAGCAACAACATCGGCAGCGAAGGGATCTCCAAAATCAGCAAAGGACTGGAGGTTAATGAGAGCCTCAAAGTTCTGAAGGTAAAGCCTAGCTGGGAATGGGCCGTTTCATGTGCACGTGTGTGTGTGTGTGTGTGTGTGTGTGTGTGCATCCATGTGTGTGTGTGTGCGTGTCCATGTGTGTTAGGATGGGGGCAGTAGGATGATGGGGCTGGATATTGCTGAAGAGAATCACTGGGAAAATCTACTTTGTCTTTCGCACGTGCATGTATTCCGGCTCTCAGCTGTGAAACCAACGACTCCCTCTGCTCTCACCTGGTGCACGTGTGGTAGTCATCTCCTGACTGGTCTTCCTTCCAATTGGGTCTCCTTCAGGCCCTTGAGCATAAATCTGACTTCTGCCCGCAACCTCCTGTCTACTTTCCCTCAGCTTAGATCCCCCGTAGCCTCCTGCTGCTCCAATCCATTACTCTCATTCCTGTGCACTTCTCCGACCTCAGTTTACCCCATGCTTCCACTTGCTCCCACCCAAGGCCTCAGGGTCTCTGTTCTTCTCCTTCCTCCTGCCAGGGCCTTGCTCACACTGCATCCTGGGCCTGCAGTGCTACCTCCCCCGCTGCTCTCCTCCGCTTGCCGAAATTATTTCCTGCCTCGGAGCATAGCTCAAGCAGCAATTCCTCGGGGAACTCTGCCAAAGCCTCAGAACCCTGTTCACTCCTTCATGCAGAACTTGCCAGAGTTTCTCATCCGAATGACTATCTGTCCCCAACTAGTGTGAGAGCTTCATGAGAAAAAAGACTATTTTTGTGTTACCCATCGTTATAGCCCTCGTACCTAGCATAGTGCTGGGTGTGTAGTAGATGCCCAATGAATATTTATTAAACAAGTGAATGAATACATATTTCATTTTAAATTAATTTGCTTATGAGTGCTAATTCATGACATAGAAGCTTCTGGGCAGTTGGAAAACACGTGAAAGGTGAGGCTCCCTCCCTGGGGCTCCTGCCATGGGCCAGGTCTGTATCAGACGATCGCCTCCTTACTCACAGCCCAGCCCGCCAAAGAGGGCTCATTAGATCCACTCGCCAGATGAGAACACCGAGGCTACGTGACCTGCTCGGGCCACACAGCTAACGGGAGGCAGAGGAGAGTCAGCTCCACCTCCCTGGCTTTCCACTGCAACTCCAACTTCTGCAAGATGCGGGGACCCCAGATGTGGGGGTTCTGGTGGAAGAAGAATGGCAGTTAGGAATCAGTGCAAGTGAGCTGGCATCCGAGAGGACAACCACCTTAGAACTGCTAAGGTGACAAGAGGAAGCCATATTCTGATGTGTGGAGGGAACAAGGTGACTGCAGACCAGACCAGAGAGCCATCTAGTGACTGGGAGAGCCGAGAGGCTGGCCTGGCTGGAGTGGGACCAGGTGGAACTCAGAGAAGAGAAACAGATCTGACCTGCAAATGACTCAGCCCCAGTGGCCAATGAAGTCAAGGAAAGTTCAGCGAACCTGAATTTTAAAAGACTAAAAAGTTGCCTCAACAAAATGGCAGCAAGGGTTGTTCTTTTAGGATATTGGCGAATTTAACATTTTTTCTACAGTAACCAAGTATAATAAATATATTTTCATTTTTTAAAATGTTTAAAAGTGAGAAATAAAAAAGCTTAAACTGTAACTCTCAGTTTGGTCACAGGTGAAGACCACAATTTTGCCACTGGTGTTATCACTGTCTACATCCAGCCCCAGCCTTCTTTTCCCTAATTTTGAGAAAAGAATTCTCCCTGGGAAGTGAGTCGAGCCCTACCAGGGCAGGGCTCAAGTATCTCTTTTCTCCTTGGAATGCATCAGAGCCTGGGAAACAGCTGACACATAGCACACAGTAAAAGCTTCAGCCTGCCTCATCATGAAACCATCCAGCTGAAAGCCTTCAACAATGATAGCTAACATCTGTTCGCTGCTTGCTAGATATCAAAAATTCTTTTGAATGCTTTGTTTGAATTGACTTGTTGAATCCTCAGAGCAGCCCTGGGTGATGGGTACAGAGTTGTCAGGGAATTAACTCAAGATCAGAAAGCTAGTAAGCAGAGCCACTAGCTCTGCTCCGCGTTCCCAGCCGTTAGCCTCTACGCCATATTTCAATGGCTCCCAGCACCAGTGGGACAACACCCTGAGAACTTAGCTAAGCCCACAAGGCCCTGTGTGATCTGGCCAGCTCTGTGACCTTGTTCTCTCTGTTCTTGCTCACAAAATATTCACTTCTGCTCCTTGGCACTTCTTTGCTGCATCTTATTCCCGCCTCTGGTCCTGCCTCCCCTTCTTCATACCTCCCTAATCCCCATTCATCCTGCAAAGTTTTGCTCAAGTGTCCCCTCCCCTCTACTGGATGCCCCTTTCCTTGGTCCTGCAGTATCAATCTGTACCTCTATCACTGCTATCATCACACTTCTGATGCCATTTGATTGTTTGCTTATGTCCCCTTCTAGAGCATAAGCCACCTGAGGGCAGAGACCTTGTCATGTCTGCCTGTATATTTCTCAGTGCTTACACCAGCAAGTGGCACATGGCAGGCCCCCAATAAGTTTTAGATGGACGGACGGACGGACGGACGGATGGATGGATGGTTAGATGGACGGACAGACGGATGGATGGATGGATGGATGGATGGTTGGTTGAATGGATGGATGGATGGTTGGTTGAATGGATGGATGAGCAGTGAGATGGGCAGATGGACAGATGATTGGACAAACAGACAGACAGGAAGACAGGTGCTTATGGAGAAGTCTGGGTAGAAGACAGTGATTGTGATTTGATGGGAATAAATGGAAGCGGTGCTCTCCTGTCCCCATCTCAGCCATCTCTCGTCTCTCCCCTCCTCCCACAGCTTTTCCTGAACCCTATAAATATGGATGGTGCTGTTTTACTAATCCTGTCCATCAAGAAGAACCCCAAATCCAAGATGGAAAATCTGGACATTTCCGTGAGTAATCGAATTAGGTAGTTACTTGCACCAGGGAGCAAGCCAGTTCCCATGACACTCTGTGTCAGCAGTCACCAACAGCTCCCTCCCTCATGGGCCCTCATATGTAGGCCCCATGAAAAGGTCACTCTTTGGAGTGCAACTCTGCCCTCTCCAGGGATCCTTTCAATAGGAGTAGCCATTCAGTCAATAACATCTCAAGGTGAAATCGTTTCCAGGTCCTGGGAACCCAAGACCTGTGCACGTGAGAGTAAGCCTGAGAGTAGAGATACAGAAACCCCAGAAACAGGGGCAGGAGGACCCCAAAAGAGGTTTACTGTTAGCTTTGTTGACAGATGGCCCAGGATCCCAGAATGGTTAGAATTATAGCATTTTTAGAACCTGAGTAATAAAACATGGATAAACTTTTATTTTCTTTTCATAATTTGGCCTACTCGGAGTAGTATTTGAGGGTAAAAATCCCCTGGTAGACAAGAAAAGCCTGAAGAAGCGATTTCACTCTGCCAGGTCCTCTTGCCTGAATCTTTCTAAAGGTGGTAGCTGATAATAACTCTATCCTATTTTTGTCTACCATTTTATGCTCTTTTTTTCCTCCCCAAAAGTGATTTTATCTATGTCAGCTCATTTGATCCTCTCTACTCTGGGAGGTAGAGTGTATTCGTGTCCCAGGGCTGCTGTATCAAAGTACCACAAACTGGGTGTCTTAAACAATAGAAATTTATTATCTCACAGTTCTAGAATCTAGAAGTCCAAGATCAAGGTGTCGGCAGGGTTGGTTCCTTCTGAGGGCTGTGAGGGAGAATCTGTTCTATGCCTCTCTCCTAATGTCTGGTGTTTGTTGGCAATGGTTAGTGTTCCTTGGCTAGTAGGTACATCACCCACACAATCTCTGCCTTCAATGTCACGTGCCAGTCTCCTGTGTGATGTCTCTTTGTATCCAATCATACTGGATTAGGACCCACCCTAACGACCCCATCTCAACTCGAACATCTGCAAAGATCCTATTTCAACATAAGATCACATTCACTGGTTCTGAGAGTTGGCACTTCAATATCTTTCGTGGTGGAGACACAATTCAATCCATAACAAGAAATTTTCTTCGTTTTCCCATTTTATATGTAAGGAAACTGAAACAGAGAGGTTAGGTCACTTGCCCAGGACCACACAGCAAGTGAGCAACACAGCAAGGAGTAAAACCCAGGGTTTCTGCCTCCTACTCTAGAGTTCTAAAAAGGTACAGTGTTAAAGTCCTTGAACATTTTTTAAGTGCCGCACAAATACGATGATTTGCTAAGACCTTAATGCCTTGCAATTATATCAGTGATGATATTTTGAATATTTAAGCCCAAGCTCCTTGGAACTGAATAATAAGTAAAGTTTGGACATGTTGCCGCTGACTATAAACACATACCCGCTTTCTTTTCACTTCGTTCCCTCACTCCTTCTCCCCTGCCCCAGGCTCCTTCTTGTGCTCACGGGTCTTTCTTCTTGGAGGCCCTCTCTCTACCCTCATCCTACAGCTCTGACCTTGCACCCTACAATGCTGCCTTAGCCCCCGACATGCCCTGCCTCTGAATCCCAGCCACAGATTTTGTGGTCATTTGGTCGCCCCCACTCCTGCAGAGCTGGTTGTAAGGTATGGATCCAGGCACTGCCTTGGTGTGTCAGGAATGTTAGAAACGGTGTAGTTTAGACCCCAGATGGCATATAAACCCACGAGTTGGGATCACAGTGCCATTTAACAAGCCTACCAGAACAAATAGGTCTGAATTAGCCTTTTTCTTCCCTTTCGTCAACTATGCTCTTGTAACTCTAAACTGTGTTAGAATTCCTTCATTGTAGATGCTTCTAGAAATTTCTCTGGAATATCTACAAAGGGAAGGGGGTAAGCCTTTAGCCCTTAAGCATGGGTTTACTTCTTTGAAAGGCAAAAGATACTCAGGACCACACCTAAGGAATGAAGCAGGTTGATAAAATCTGTGGAAGCCAGGTTTGAGCAAATGCTATTTCACGTAACACGTTTTCTCCTGCGGCCTATTGACCCAGCTCCGAGGGCCCCTCAATACGGGGAGTTCCCAATGCGTTTTGAGCCGTGACTGGATGGTTGGAATGATAGAGCCTCTTCCAGGGCGCCTGCTCTGAAGACCAACACTGGTGTAGAAATGGACATTTCACAGCATTGGTTTCGGGCTCATCTCTCAACCCCATAGCTGCGTCTCATCTGTCATACACAGACACTTATGCTCGCCATCTGAGAGCAGAGCTGAAGTGACAGTATGTGACAAGCCCCCAGCACTCAGCTAGAGCATCTGATCAATCATGTGGGAGACTTACAAGTCAAACCACAACCTCTAAAGGAAGGGAACTATACCAGGCTAGGAGCAGCACTGTAGAACAAACTGGAAAAAATTAAACGCTCTGGCTTGGCCTTGGGTGGGCCACTGGCCTGGGTAGAGAGATGGCATGATGGTGATGCCTTCTCCATGCTGGGTCCCCTCTCTCCCTGCCTCAGAATGTGCTGGTGTCCGAGCAGTTTGTGAAAATATTAGATGGGGTATATGCCATCCACCCACAACTGGATGTGATATACAAGGCAGTACAAGGCCTCTCTGTCAAGAAAACCATCTTCCAGTGCACAAACGCCATAAAACTGATCCAGGTAAGCCCCTGATTTCCTCTCGGAGTCCCCGTGGACACCTGGAGAAAGCTGTTCTTTGACTCCCAATCACTACCCAGAGCCCCCAACCCCCACCTCAAAGTGTCTATACAACCCTCTCTGACAAAGAATGTCTCAAACATGGAATGTCCCCTATGAACTTCGGATCCCTCAGTAGTGCTTCCTGACGCTCACAGGAAAGGGACAGCTGAGAACCAGCTGAAGGGAAAGGGGCTTGGAATAGGATGGTTTCTATCAGCCAGGCTTGTCCCCTCACTATTGTAGGACCGAAGGCAAGTCACTGAAGTTTTCTGTGCCTCAGTCTCTTCACCTGTAAAATAGGCATAATAATAGTACCCACCCCAGGCGGGCTGCTGTGAAAATGAAATTCTATAATATGCATGAAGTGCTTGGAACAATGTCTGGCTTCTAATAACCACCCAACAAATGTGGGCTCTTTCCAATAACTAGTAAGGATGCCAAGACACCCCTATGGTCAGGACAGCTATTTGACGGCTTCAGCTAAAGAGAGAACCTCAAGTCTTTTCTATCTAGTGATAACCTGGCTCAAGTCTTAGATTATCTCTGGCAATCACAGGAGGCAGATGTAACAGTGAAAATAAAAAATCAGAGACTATTGGAGCTGGAAGGGATATTAGAGTTATCACCAGCCCCAGGCCTGGTGTTTCCACCATTGGCTGTCACCCCGAGGTGGAGGCGATGGCCCTGCTGCTGGATGCAGACCTGTTGCTACCTGGGGAAGCAAGAACGGGGACGATGACGTGCAAAGGTGGGTTCTGCAGGGTGCGTGACCTGGGACTGCTTCCTGCCCCCGCTTGGTCTGCTTTGTGCCTTAGCTTCCGGGACTAAATACAAGAGCTCTTGCATGAAAATTACTTTTGCGTGAAAAGTTCTAGAAGGTAAAGGGGTATCGAGTATCTTCAGATGTCCTTGGGTGGAACCAAGGGGGAATCTGTTTTGCAAGGGAAGTAAGATACTCCAGTGAACAGGAATTGAGTTATCTGATGCAAAGTGGGAGGCCTGTCCTTTGTTTAAAACAGCACAGAGAAGGGATATCTGAGTAGAGACCAAACCGGACACGCTATGTGAAACACAGTCCTTTCCTTCAGGCGACCAACATTCTGGTTGGGAAGACGAGACAGATACAGTAACTTCTAATAGAAAGTGTCATATGATAAATAATAAATAAGTGATTAAGGCAGCACATATAATCAGAATCTAAAGTGGAGGTCAAGTAGGATTGGGCAAACAGAAAAGGATGCTTCCCAGCCTAAATGCCCAACAATAGATGATCAGATAAAGAAGATATGGTACATAAATACTATGGAATACTACTCAGCCATAAAAAAGAATGAAAATTTACCATTTGCAACAATATAGATGGACCTAGAGGGTATTATGCTAAGTGAAATAAGTCAGGCAGAGAAAGACAAATACCATATGATCTCACTTATATGTGAAGTCTAAAGAACAATATAAATAAACAAATGAAACAGAAAGAGACTCATAGACACAGAGAACAAATTGATGGTTGCCAGATGGGAGAGTAGTCGGGGGGCTGGGTGAAAAGTGGAAGGGAGTAAGAAGTACGATTGGTAGTTAAAAAATAGTCCCAGGAATGTAAAGTACAGCATAAAGAATACAGTCAATAATATTATAGTAACTAGGTATAGTGCCAGGTGGGTACTAGACTTATAGAGATATCTCTGTGTAAATTATATGACTATCTAACCACTATCCTGAAAACCTAAAACTAATATAAAATAAAAGTGAATGTCAACTGTAATTGAAAAAAAAAAATTAAAATAAAAGGATTCTTCCTGGAAGAAATGGGGTTGGGGAAGGGCCTTGAAGAGCAGGAAGGAGTCAGGTGAGCAGTGGCCAAGGGAACAGTTCTGAGAGGAGGAGCCCCACCAGCAAAGGCACAGAGGTGGAGCCACACGCAGGTTGTTGTGGGGAGAGGAACAGGACCCTGTGGCTCCACCAGAAGAACTGTGTGGCTCCAGGCTCACGGGGAAGCCTGGAATCAAACCGGAAAGGGAGGCTGGGCTGAGTGTGGCATACCCCAGATTTTAGGCTCAGAGGCGAGTTTGATTCTGTAGGGAGGAGGAAGCCAGCCAGAGTTGAGCCGTGGGCGTGATGTGAATTCAGCAGGGATGAAGCATTAGAAAAGGAAATGAACTGAAGAGGGGGAAATGAATGAGGACACTACCATAGCATTCTAGATATGGGATGACAACATGGCTGAGGATGACAATGGAGGCGGAGGGACAGATGCAGGAGATATCGCTATGGGGCATCTCCGGTGCTCGGGTATGGTTGGTCGTGTGGTGCGTGCGTGCGTGTGTGTGTGTGTGTGTCTGTGTGTGTGTGTGTGTGTGTGTGTACGCGTGCACGTGCCTGTTGGGAGGAAGAGGTCTATGGTGATAGGACAGAGCCGAAGATAACCCCAAATTTTCAAGCCCAATAAACTAACAGGAGAACGTACCCTTGCCAGATGTAGGGAAGTCCTGTGCGGAAAAGGGGCCGTCCCCGGGCCCTCCCTCCCTCTCTAGCCCCAGCCCTCCCCATTCCACCCCTTTCTTCTCCACTTTTTGTCCCCACCGAATTTCTCCCCATTCTTTTTTGCATCGGTTCTCTTAACTCCAAGCCTGGGCACATGCGCATCTGTCCGCCTGGAACGCCCTTCCCCCTGCCCTTTGTCTCGCTCATTCCTACTCATTCTCCAGGTCTCTACCAAAGTGTCGCAGCCTTGGGCAACCCTTCGCAGACTCCCTAGTCAAGAGTAAATAAACGCCCTTGCCTTGGCCCTTGCAGCCTTCCCCTTTACCCTTCCGCCGCAGCTGTGAATCCTCCAGGACAGAAGCTGCATCGGATCTTATCGATAGCACCTATCAAAGTAACAGGCCCTTGTTAAGGTCAAGGTTCTTAGTTGCTGCCCACGGAATCCATTCTAACTAGGTTCAGCAAGGAGGGATGTATTACCAGAGATAGACCACAGAAACATTGAGAGGGTCGAAGAAACAGACTCTGGTTTGAGATTCCAGAAATGGTTTCCCAAACATCTTGACTGGGTGGCCAGGATAGCTGCTGCTTCTGCCGCAATCAGGAACCTGCCCAACCAGGAATCGCCCCTGAATCAGAAAGCGGCCCCCACACCTGCCCACAGCCTGCTCTCTGCAAATCAGACCTCCCGCACATAGGTCTCACCCAAGTGCTTGGCGAAGCCCATCCCATCCCGACTCAGCTGCAAGTGGGCTTGGGGAATGCCAGCTTTTAGCTCTATAGAGAGACATACTATGAAGGAACTGGAGTGGACGTCAAGGGCTCACCTTGGTATTTGCCACAAATGTAGCAAATTTGCAGAATTGATATTCACTTTGCTGTTTGCAGAATTGATATTCACTTTGGATGTGTTGGATTAAGGTGCCAGTGGGGTGTCACCATGGATGTGGGAGCAGCTGCTGAGGATGCAAAACTGGAAATGTGGGATTGGGAGTCACCCCAGGGAGGAGGGCAGCGGTGAGGAGGGCAGGGATGAGGGCAGCGGGGAGGCAGTGCACACCAGAGAGGGAAGTGTGGGGAAAGGAGAGCAGAGGCCAAGGACTGACCCCTGAGAAACTTCTCCAGGAGCGGGATGTCTGTAGGAATGTGGATCAATACAGCTGGGCCTTGCCTGGGGCCTTTTGAGAGTGGGAGGGGAAGAGAATCAAAAGAAAAAAATACCAAGAAAAGGATCCCAAAAGGATATTTTAATGATATTGAAATATCATTATATCATTGTACTAATATATCAATATCAATATATTAGTACAGTGCATTTCATAAAACATGTACAGTAAAAAGATGATTTATGGATGAGTAGATAGATAGACAGACAGATAGGCAGATAGACAGATGAAAGAATACACATCTGGATGGTGGGATTAGATTTATGGGTTATTTTTTATTTTCTTCTTTCTACTAATCTAAAATTACCTTACAATATGAGTAGGTAATATTTTTGAAATGAAAACAATGAAATATTATTTTTAAAATACTCTAGCACAGTACATCTCCGTATAAGCCTTTGCACGAAATGATGAGTGCTGTGCATTCTGAGAGCCGGCCCTGCGGGTCGCACGACATGGCTGTGGTTCGGTCTTCTGGGCTCTGAGCTGACAACAGCCCACCCACCATCCACAGTGCACCACCTACACTGGTCTTAGCAGAAGCAATTTCAAGACTAAATAATACTTGTCAATACGGTGACCCTCCCTACTCCCTCGATGCTGTGGGACCGTCACAGCATCGACACCAGTCTTTCCACCTTTGGAACCGCATGGAGATCCTGCTCAGTGGGCTGGGGCCTCCTGGAAACTGGGCAAATGCACAAGAACCCGCGTGGCGTGCGGTTTGCCGTGCCTCAGTTTGTCCGTGCAGGGCTCCTGATCTTACGCGGCTCTAACATCCGGGAGACTCAAGTTCCTGGGTCTGCCTTCTCACACTCCTGCTCTGCCCGCTAGGTCTGCAGCTGGGCCACCCTGTGATGGGAGGGGAGCGAGAGTTGTTATAGATGTTAAATGCTCAAGTGTTTGCTCCTGGTGTCTCCTGCCTCTCTCAGAACTATGCAGACCAGCACAAAATCACGATCTTGGACTTCTTCAAGAGCTTGAACCCTAACAGAATGATCACGATGCCTGTGGGTGAGTTCCGGAAAGCCATGTTAAAGGTACGTTAAAGGCACTGTGTGTGTGCATGTGTGTGTATGCGTGTGTGTGTGTGTGTGCCTGGAGAGTGGGTAAGCAGAGAGCTCCATTAACTTCACATGTTCTATCCACCTCCTCAGCAAAACAAGGTCCCCATAAACCGGTACCAACTCAGGGATCTGATAAAGCGGATGTATGAGAAGAAGACAGGCATGGTGAACTTCAGGTCAGTGGCTGGCCCCCATACAGCTTCTGTTCCAGGAAGGTCCTCAGTTCTCCATAAGTCACCCCGGATGGATTGGCCTGAGCTCCGGGGACAACCCTGTCCGCATTTTATTAGGTCTGACCTCCCCCACCTCGCCTACCCTGCACAGCGGGCCGCCTTCACCCTGGGCCCCAAGCCTGGCCCCACTGTTTACCTTCTTCTCATCTTCCATTGGCTCAGCCATGCTTCAGTCTCGACCACATGCTGCAGGCTTTAGGGCCAGTCTCTGAGGACACAGTGTTCACAGCCAATAGGAAGTGACACGAGGGAGCAAATGATTAGATCCCAACATATGAGAGAGGCATGGCCGTATGCAGGACTCCCAGTCTCCAAGTCTTTAGAATAGGGTGATAACCACAGCACCCGAAAGGGTTCTGTGAGGATCAAATGGGGACAGTGCATGTAAGGGGCTGGCACATGTCATCCAGCAAAGGCCTTTCCCTCATGTAGGCTCAGGCTTGCATACCCTCCACCCCTTGCCTCTGTCCTTAACTTTCCCATCTGCCTCCTGGAAGTGCTTATTCCTCGGGACACTTGTGGGAAGTGCCCAAGGCAGAGCTCAAGAGATCAGTTTCCAAGTCCTGCAACTCCCCGGACCCAATTTTGCAGACAAGGTCACATGACCATCGAGAGGCAGTCCTGAGGTCTGTGCCTCTGAGTTTCGAGAACTGAGTGAGGGGCTCTCATGGGCCCTGAGATGACACCCTACAGCTCTATTAGTTCTGACTGAAGAAGCAGAGTTGTAATTTTTATTGTTGCATGAATTTTTTATTTTCAGTTTTTGGACCAAATATCTACTGTAAAAATTCTAAATCCATAGAAGTATAGCAAGGAGAAAATGGAGGTCTTCTTTCGTCTCACCCCACTCCCACGTTTCACTCTGCCTTCCGCGGTGCCCTCATGATATTTCCGTATCTTTCCATACCTTTCCCCATGTACTCGCAATCAATTTGTGTGTGTGTGTCTGTGTGTGTGATAAAATGGTTAAAAGCATGAGCTATAGGGCTAAACCACCTGGGTTCCAATCCCAGCTCCACTCCTGCGGAACCTTGGGCAATTTACCTGATCCTCCCGTGCCTCAGTTTCCCCATCATTTAACAGTCTTTGAGGATTAAATGAATTAATGCCTATGAAGCAGTTAGAACATTACCTGGCACATGGTAGACTCGGAGTACGCATGTGTCTTATTATACGTTATATTACACACACACACAGTTTCTTATCATCCATAGAATCATACAATCGCATTCCTCTGAACGTGCTTTGCCTTACAGTATGTCTGGGGATCAATCTTTCCATATCACCACATTTAGAGCCATCTCAGTCTTTTTAGCTACCACATGGTATATCATAGTATAGAAGTCTTGTAATTTAATCTCTTCTTTATGGACATTTACTTCCAATGTTTTGCTACTAAAAATCCTACTGCCACCAACATCCTTTTGTATACAGTGCTTGCTCATGCATGTTTAACATGGGCTTGGTGGAGCGGGCCCAGTGCAATCGTTGGGCCGAAGAGTGTGCACATTCTAAGTTTAAATTACTGCCAAACCCTTGCCGACAACATAAACCAGCTCTCTCCACTCCACCCTCATGCCAACGCCAAACCTTATTCACATTCAATGCTCTACCAAGCTGAGAGATGGGTTTACAAATGGCCTCGCTTGAAGTTGAGCCTGTCAAAACATTCTCATCAATCAGCCATGAGGCTGCATTGGTGCTCAGCCTTATCCCCTTACCTTTCAAACCAGCTTACTGTAAATGGTGAAGCCATAGCAACAAGTCTGGCCTGGAAAGAAGTCTCTGTGACAGAGAAGTCCTGGCAAGTCGGATGGTGACAGAGAGGAGGCAGAGAGCTGGCTGAAACCTCAGTGGACAAACACCAAGGCCAAGACTGTGAGCAAGCCAATAAAGTCTGGCTTGGTCTTGGCATCTCTGGGCTGCTGCAGGTGTGCCCTTCGCCAGAGGAGCACCCTCTGGTTTTAGCAACTACCAGGGAGCACATCCTTGGAGGCCTCTTTAACAGCCATGAAGACAAATTGGGAATGCAACGGGGTTGCTAGGTGGCAGGAAAAGAGCAGTGGGAAGGAGGTCAGTGCACAAAGCGATCATCATAGTAATTGTAAACTGTCAAGGGGAGAGATTTCTGAGATGCGGAGGCAGTGGCAGAGGGAACAGATGCTCAGGAAATGAGGGTAGGGGCCTTTAGAAGCAAAAGCCAAGGGGTCACGTGGAGAGAGCCCAGGACAGGAGACAGAGAGACCTGGCTTCTAGTCTAGGCTGGGCACTGCCTGGCAACCTGACCTTGGAACCTCATGGTTCCACCTGAGAAATGAGACAATAAAGGCTTCCCTACCTATTGTAGGAACCTACCATTTAGCATTAAAAAAAAAAAATTTCCTTGGGAAACTGGGAAGACAGTAGGAGCTTAGCAAAAGAAAAGCAATAATAGTCAAGAAAAGCATACACAGAGCCAGGGGGAGGCCGGGGCGGGGGTGGTACCTTAAAGGGTTGTGGTTAACCTTGTCAGTCCCCTTCATGGATGAGCAAGGGCAGGAACTGTCTGATGCATCTCTGTAGCACCGTGTGGTGTCTGGCACATAAGATGCTCAATAAATACCTGTGGAATGAATGAACGCATTCACCTGGAGATTCTTTTGGGCAAGTGGTGGAAAACTGGAAATGTTTGGGGGGGTCTCTAGGAACCGACACTTTAGAGCACCAGTGGCATACTGGAATGGCATCTAGGAATCAAGTCACTACCTTTGGGTCTCACTTTGCTGCACCGAGGCTGGCGGTGCGGCCGAGGCCTCTCTGCATGTGAGGCGGAGTCATTATCTGAATAATTTTTGTCCCCATCTCCACAGCATATTCCCCTTTCTCGTCCTTATTCAAAGTCTTCGCCTAAAGTTGAATTTGGGTAGTACAGAGGCTCAGAGTCAAAATTGGGATGATGAAAAGAAAATAAAGAAATGCAATCAGGAGTTTGTGGGCTGAAACTCGTGTCTATCACACCTGTCAGGGTATGCAGATGTCTTTGCTCCAACTCTTCAGATAAATCAAATCTGCTTAAAGTCAGGGACCGTGTCTTTTAAGCCTATTATAACCCATAAAATTCTCCATCAAGTCCTCTGCCCGTAGTGAGCATCCAATCACTGCTGGTGCCTGGGTGGAACCCTGCAGGTAATGAGGCCATGAAGAATCAAAGCTTGTTATGGATTGTAGGTTATAGATCAATAAAAACCGCAAAGTTTTCTCAAGATGCTTTTATGCATCTTTTGCGTAAAAATGAAGAGGCAATGGTTTTTTAATCAAATGTTATTTTTTGCTTGGGTAGCTATTGGGGACTGATGGAGATATGGAGAAGCTAAAATGTCCTCTCCCACCACCCTTGACCCTCCGGGACAGCCTTTGACACGGCCACCGCCAAGAAAGTGAAGGGCGGCGAGTCACAAACCTGCTTGCAACAGCCCTGGAGCCTTCCCAATGGTGGAGTAATTCCTGCCTGTGGCCACTAGGTGTCAGGTCAGCTCCAAAAGTCCTCAGCTTTGCACCGTTTGCCTTGCACTTTCTCCGATCTGCCAAACTTCCTCCGGTAGGACCCTGACATGAAATATGAGCCCAGAAGTGTTCAGCAGCCTGACACCTGGGCAGACCTCGCCAAGGCTCAGTGTCCTCATTGTAAATCGAGGTTACTAATAGCTACCTTGTTGTGAGAAAGAAAATCAGGCACTGGTAAAAGCTCCATAAACATTCAGTCCTCTCTCCATGTCAGCCCACCCTGGAGCTGGGCAACACCACAGGAGGAGATGTGCTCCACTTGGGGGGACTGCACAAGGCATGAGCCCAGAGAGCTGACTCACACTTTACCAGCTTGCCAAGTCAGGAGGCTGACAGGCAGGTGGACCCCCGCAGGAACTCAAGACCAAGGTGAGGCCGAGGGGCCTTGCAGGAGTGGGAGGGGCCTTGCAGGAGTGGGATAGGCCATCAGGTCAAAGACGGCCCAGAGGCACTGGCCCACAAGCCCAGCTCTGAAGGCGGTCAGGCTGCAGCCCGGGGAAGTGGCCCCCTGGGCGTGGCCCTCCTGCCATGCCTGACTCAGAGTGGCTTCATGTTCTAACTCTCCGTATCCTCACAGTGACCCGCTGTGGTGTTGTTATCCCCATTTTACAGATGGGGAAATGGAGACATAGAGATATTAAGCATCTTGCCCAAGGTCTCCTGCTAGTGAGTGGCAAGGCTGAGATTCAGACCCTTGCAATTCAGCTCTGGCTCCCTGAGGTCTTAACCATTGTGCGGCTCCGCCCCTCTATGGCTTCCACGCAGCTTATCAACATGGGGAAGTTTAAATGCACTTGCTCTGTTTACATCCTTTCTGTAGCAAAGTGAGGAATAGCTAAATTGGTAAGGGTGCATGAGCTCCAAGCCAGGCTGGACTAGCCCATGAAAAGGAGGCAAAGGCAGATGGCCATGCTCCGTTGTAGCCGATTTCTCACGACCAGGTTGATAAGCCCTCCCTGCCTCCTGCATTGCTCAGAAATTGTACCAGGGAGGTAGGTTGGGAGAAGGAAAAATGTGGAATATTTCTGTGTGCCAGAATTGTAAAGTGGTTAAGTATGCAAATTCTGGCACCTGACAGTTCCATATCAATTCCTGGCTTTACCAACTATCAGCTCTGCGACCTTGAGCAAGTCACTCAACCTTTCTCTGAATCTCAATTTCCTCATCTGTAAATAGAAATTATAATGGCACCCCCTCTCCTATAGTGTTGCAGTGAAGATTCAAAGACATTACGCATGCGAAACACTGAGCCCAAGGCTTACACACAACTAGTGCTTAATATAAGCATGACCTTATTACAGTGGAGTTCCATTCCTAAGAGGAAGTTGTAGGTCCAGCAGGGCCCATTAGGGGCCAAACTGAGCAGCCATCTTTGAAACCCCCAAGTGCTGGGGTCTTTGAAACACCATGAGAAGCATTTCAATCTCAGGCTTTGGTGTAAGCCTTGCATAAAATCAAAAGAATTTGTCCAGAACCTTAAGAATTGGAGGGAAGGGGGGGGGCCAGAGACCAGCAACACTATGTGGGCAATGCCGGGGACACAGTGGCTCTCTGGCACCTTTCTTGGCTGCTGAGGTCTGAACCCCCTTCCTGGGCTGGGGATGCCCCACCTTCTAATCCTTAGTAAGGGTGGCTGTGACTTGAAGCTGAGACATAGACCATGCCTACACCAGTCACCAACTCTCTGGGCTAGATTCAGGGGTTGGTGTCCCGAAGAACCAGGGCCCACAGAGAATTCCCTCCGGCAGCCACGCCCCTGCAGCTGGATGGAGTCCTCGGAGCCGTTGTGGTGGCGATGCTGGTGGACTCGTTTAGTGTCCAGGGCCTGCAGGGTCAGCGGTGCAAGCTGCAGCCTCTGGTGTGTGGCCAAGGTGGCAGCCGTGGTGTCCCCAGGGGACCAGGCTGCCTTGTCAAGCAGAGGGCTTTGGATTCATTTTGTTTTGCTTTGTTTTAAACAAAAGAAAACAATGATTGGCAAGGCAAGCTTGCGTCCTAGGTGCTGGCTGCCGACCAGTGACCTTGAACGAGGAAAGAGAGAACAGTTCTCCTTCAGGAAGCAGACCCCTGAGCAGGAAGGGAATATAGGGGCAGCTTGGGGGGGGGGGGCACCTGGGGCCCAGTGGTACCTTTTAAGGAGGGACTGGGGTGTGACCTTCTGAGGGCTCTCGTGTTACCACCACCTTAGAGAGTTCTTGATGAGCTGGTGTGGGGCTGCTGTGGCGACCAGATGAATAAGGCGTAATCGTGAGTGTGCGCATGCGTTGTGGTAAAACCAAGAACATAATGGATCTTTTTTCCAGTTCCATGCCCCAGAACTTTAAACACCCTTGGAATTTCCTGAGTGAGAGGAGTGTCTGTTATGCTAATGAGGTGACTCAGGGTGAGCCTCTAGATAGTTTCAGGATGGGGCTGGTCACCAGAAAGACCAGCCACGTGAGTGGAGGTTGAGACTTTCAGCCAACAGAAGGAGAGGAGGTTGGAGATGGAGTTCAAGCACGCAGCCAGAGTTCAATAAATCATGCCTCACAGTGAAACCCCAATGAAAACTCTGGATGACGAGGCTCAGTGGCACTTCCTGGGGTGTGAACACATCCATGTGTTGGGAGGGTGGTACCCTGACTCCACAGGGAGGGAGTACAGAAGCTCTGGACTCGCTCCCAGATCTTGCCCTGTGTGTCTCTCCATTTGGCTGCTGCTGAGTTGTATCCTTTATAATAAAACGATAATCATAAGCATAGCGTTTTCACTGAGTCCTGAGTCATTCTAGAGAATTATCAAAATTGGGCGGGGGAGGCGGTCATGGGAGCACCCCAATTTGGAGCTGGCTGGTCAGAAGCACAGGTGTCCTGGGGACTCCAGTTGCAGCTGGTGTGTAAAGTGGGTGTTGTCTGTGGGGGACTGGGCCATTAATTTGTGGAGTCTGAGACTAACTCTGGGTGGTTAGTGTCAGAACTGAAATGTAGTACATGCACTCCAGGTGGCTTTACCACATGGGGAAATGGAACACATATGCACAAAAGTATGCTCGAATTTGAATTATAGAGACATGACATGAATATGTCCATGCCAGGAAAGAGAGTGTCTGTTCCCAACAACAGAGGCTGACCTGTGTACTAACCCCCAGACCTGCCTGCTCTCTTGCGGGCACCCTAACCGCTGGGCTTTGCTGCAGCCACTCCCTGCTTGTACCCCTCTCCTGCCTGTACCTCCATATTCCCAGCAGAGGGCGCTCCAAACTCACAAGTCCTCAATTCCGCAGCGCTTCGGCTCAAGGGTTGGGTGAATTCCAGAAAAAGAAAATAGGAGCCCAGACTGGTTCTGGGAAATCAAATTATTAGGTGCCTGAAAAAGACAGCAATGCAAATGGCTTCAGTGACACAGGTCACAGTGGGGGAGGACCCTAGGCTAGAACCCTCAACCTGCCTGGGGAGCCAGTTTCTCCATTCAGGGCCAGAACTAAGTTCTGTGGGGGCTGAGCTTACACAATTTGGAGCCTTTTTAAAAATATATAATGTTAGGTATAGAAAACGGATGTTCATTTAAAATGAGGGCAAAAATTACAACAAATGACTCATTTAAAAATTTTTGACAATGGCATAAACCTCAAATCCTCCCAGGGCCTCCGAAGGGGCCTGGTAGAGTGAGGGTCCTGGCAGCTGGAGCCTTTTTGGGTCCCTAATAAGGCCATTCTGCCTGCATCTCCTCCAGTAGAGAGCAGACACCTTCCTAACGCAGAATCCAATTTGCTTCCTGAGCCCATCCTGCCCCCAAAACAGGCTGAAAGGACATGATTTCCAGGGGTTCCGTCCTGTGAGGTGCTTGCCTCATTCCCCACACCTCTCATCACCTCTGTCCTTGGGGCAGCCAGTTGCAGTCATACCGTGAACACGTGTGGGATGCTGTCCCTCCCTCTCTGCCACTCCCAAGAGGCTGCTGCCTCTAACCCCTCTACCTTTGGGGGAGTCATGGCAGTTCTTGGGATCCTCCTTTCCTGAGTCCTGGCTCTAAGATGGGTCCTTGATCTACTCTGAGTTATTTGAAGACAGAAACCCACAGCTCCCAGAAAGCCACTCCCAAGGGAACGTGAGGTAGGAAACGGGCCCCTCCTTGAAATGAGTCCCATGAGACCAGGCGAGGCCCCTGACGGTCTGAGTGTAGGCAGAGAAGTGAAGGGACCCACGCCGGAGCCTGGGGACCCCGGAACTGTTAATGAGGTCTCTGAGAAGAAGACTAAGTGGGGAGATCACCGAGGAGGAGGAGGAGACCGGAGAGTGTGGGGTGCTGGAAGGAGTTGGAGGAAGTGAGCAAGCAAAAAAGACTGACCCAAAGAGCAGGGTGGGCAGGTGGGCGGTACCAGGGGAGCAGAGCGTATGTGAGATGAGGGCAAAGGGGACAGAGGAAGAAAGGGACAGGGAGGGGCCACCAAATAGCAGACCTCCCGTCACGGCCCCGCTCTGTTACTTGCAGCCCAAAGCATCCTAAGAGACACAAATGCCCTTCCCATGCTCCCAGCACACAGCATCATTCCGTGTGTCCACCGTCTGGTGACATGTGGCCCTCCCCTACTAGGCTGTGCGTCCCTGTGCGTCTGGGGCTGTGTTCCCATCTGTGGATCTCCATGCTTAGCACCATGCCTGGGACAGAGTAGGGCTCAGAGATATTTGGTGAATGGATGTAAAGGATGGAAGAGTGAGTGAGTGGATCCCTGCTCTCGGCAGCCCCGCTGCGGGGTGGGAGTGGGGGGTTCCTGAGAGCCGCTCCAGCAGACCACCAGCAGCAGCCTGGCAGTGCCCAGGTGTAAACACATCTGGGCAGGGGAGGGGGGGACACCTCCAGATGCCTGAGACGTCAGAAGCTGGAACTCCAGCAAAACTTTGACAGCAGATGCTCCAAGTGCCCCAAGAAGGCTGAGGCTTGAATTGCTCCATGGACCAGGATGAAAGCACGCTGTAAATACAGGTGTTTCTTCTAGAAAAGGCCTTGTTGACGCTTTCCTGCTACCCAGCCCACACAGAGACAGACTCCTCCAGCTGCCGTCAGGAACCCCTGCCTTACCGGTTTGGGGAGGCATAAGTCCGCCAAGAGCCAGTTGGACCAGTGGGGTCTCCCTGAAGGAGGGTCCTGGTGTGGACCCCTGAATGGGAGTGTGGAGAACGACAAGGCCTCCTTCCCCTCTCCCCAAGCTCCTTCCATGAGACTAAAGTCAGTCCTGCCCCTTTCCGGCTTGGGCTGGGTGCAAAGCTCCTTGAGGGTTGCTACAGGGACCTACGCTAGCCTGGCAGAAATTTGTCAAGGGAGCTTCTGGTGAGAGGGAGGCAGCGCATCCCAGTAGTTAGAGTCACAGGCTTGGCGTCAGGCTTCCCTGTGTTGGCATCCTGACCCAACTACCTCCTTCTTGCCTGCCTGCCTGCCTTCCATCCTTCCTTCCTTCCATCCTTCCCTCCTTCCATCCATCCTTCCTTCCTTCCTTCCTTCCTTCCTTCCTTCCTTCCTTCCTTCCCTCCTTCCTTCCTTCCTTCATTCCCTTATTATTTATGGGGGACCTACTATGTTCTCAGCACTGCGTGTGGCACCAGGGTTACAGCATTTAGCGTCACAATCGGCTAGACATGAATGCAAACAGCGGAGCTTAAGCCTTAAGGCACACATGAAATAAATACCCACACAAACATTGCCATTGTAATGACTTCTGAGACCGAAGGGCACAGTAACACAAGGGACAACGTGGCAGTGGTGTGGCTGGGAACCAGCTCCTCGGTTAATGTGATTCTCGTTATGTAATAATAGGTCCCCCTGCCTACGGCTCTGAGAGAACCAATGGGACACTGCACACAGACGCCTTGGCCCCTGCCAGGCCCTCCGTGCTCCAGACCAGGACGGGGAGTGGCCATCGCTGTCTCTGAGGCTGGTGGGAGGCCTGGAGCCCGCGATGAGGCTGCAGAAAGGAGCGTCTTACACCGGCTGTGGCCTGAGGCATCTGCCAGGCTGAGAAGTGGCTGCTTTCTGGTCCCTGTCGGGGCCACCTTCCCTGTGGCCTGGCACCGCCCGACGGTCCAGCTGCCACTGCCAGAGTCGAGCGAAATTCCCAAGTTACTCCTGGACTCAGGCTGCCACCAGCCCCCTGGCTCAGGGAATTGAACAGCCCCAAGAGCAGTTCCCCTGCCAGGTGCTGGCTGAGCCAGCTGCTGGGCAGCGGAGACAAAGAACAAAGCCATCAGGCTTGGCTTTGTGGAGGCCTGGTTGGGAGCAAAGCGACTCTGAAGTCCCCCACTCCCTCCCCACGGAGAAAACGACACTGATGGGGGACAGAAGGCCAGGGCAGGAACTTCTCTGCCACCAGCCCCCCACCCAGAGCTCTGGGGTCGGCACATCGTGGGCAGATTGGGGGAGCCCTAGACCCAGGCACCACCCCAACCCTCCCCGGACATCTGGGATGGGCATGAGATCAAGAGGCCCCAGGCCTCTCTGCTGCCTCAGTTTCTCTGGGAGGAAGGTCAAGATGAGGCATCAGACACTGGCCGCTGAGGACAGTGTTAAGACGTTAAGGAGCAGAGCAGGTGCATGTCTGTCTGGACCCATCTTCCAGCTGAGATCTCAAAGACAGTCTACGGTCCAGGAGGAGAGACACGGGGTGGGATGGAGGAGGGCCGGGGTTTCTGGGAGCAGGGCTGGTTCAGGGGTACAACCCATGGAGTCACACAGGGCCCCATTCTTAGAAAGGTTCTGGGCTTGGCTTCAGGCTCTCTTGTCACTGTCTTAAAATCCTTAATTATTTTTAAACGAGCTATGTAGCTGGTGCTGCCTGCGGGTGTGGACTTCTGCACACAAAGGGCCTTCCTGTCTGGGAACCAGGAACGGAGGGGTTGGAGCCCCCAAGTCATTGTTTTCCCCCCAACAGCTCCGATGAAGGTGAAGAAATTAGAGAGGCCTCCTCTGGACTTTGGCCAGATGAAATTTGTGTTTCTGGAAGAGAGAAGAGAGAAAGAACAGCCCCGACTTCAACAGGTTGCAGGTAAGGCCAGGAAGAAAGAAGGACGTGCTCCTCTTCCTCAGGCCCTGGGCTGCCCTTCCACAAACGGGGTGGTGGGGAGCACTGCCGAGCTCCTTCAGCTGGAACTCACTGCTGGAGGAGGCTGCAGCTCTGAGGCAGGTGGGCAGAGGGGAGTGGGGGGAGGAGGGCGGAGGTGGTGAGGCCTCAGAGGCCAGAAAGAGCCTCCTCAAAGGCCTCAGCCAGCAGGGCCAGCCCAGGCCCGCTCTGGCCTCTGGTCTCCAGCCAGGAGGTAATTCAGAAATTTCTTCAGACTGCTGCTGGGGCCTGCTGGCCTGGCTCCCCCTGCCTGAGCCAGCCTGCATGGGCTGGATACAGTCCCGGTTTCTACCTCCCAGAGGCCAGCCAGCTGCTCCGGTGGCCTCCCCCTCATTCACGGCTGGTCCAGGGTCAGACAGTGCCGGGAAATGAGCTAGCAGGAGGGGAACTGGCCCCAGGTCCCTGGCCAGGGCTGGGGAGGATCCAGGTTTCATAGAAGAAGAAGCAAGGGGGCCTAACCCTGTGAGTGTTGGAGGTGAAAGCAGTGAGACTCAGCCTCAGGGGTCTGCCTGAGGCTCAGCCTGGAGCCTGGCCTGGCTCTCAGAAGCCAGGCCCAGCAGAGTCTGCCTTCCCGGGCAGAGATCAGCCAGGCCAGGCAGAAGCCAGAAGCCCTGGGGCAGGACCTTTCTCAATACTCCCACCTTCTGTCCCTGAGGCTGAGAACTGGGCCACCTTCCTCAGCATCTCTGAAGACCCTGGGCTATTAATCCCCTCGCCGCTAAAATGCAAACGTTCCTGGGAGCCTCGCATGCCAGCCTCCACTCCGCCTTGCCTTCTTCAGATTTGTGGGAAGTTTGTGGCCAGCCGACCTGGAGGAAGACCCGGAGAAAAGGGCGAGGGAGGAGATTTGGTGAAACTGGCAGCCAAGACGTGTTTCTGTAAGGGAGGATGGAAGCCAGCAAGAGGAGGATGAACTTACCCGTTTCAAAACGCGTCCCTGGCTGGCTTCCCTGCCATGGCCCCAGCTCCCAACCACACGTCAGCCTCCGCCTCCTTCCCCCCTCCTCCCCTTCTTTCTCCTCCCAGCTCCAGCCGGCACTGTGGCTCCCTCGGGCCCCTTATGCTTCTGAGGCCTCTCACAGTTTCAGAGGGTTTGCCAAGGCTGCTTCTCGTTGGCTGCTCTCCTTCTGTGTACCCTTCCATTGTCACAGACGGGGAAACCAAGGCCCAGCAAGGTTAGGCGAGGTTACCAGCTAAGTCACAGAGTCACAACCGAAAGGCACGGCTCCTGCCGCTAGCTTCATGGAGAGCCTCCCTGGACACGGCAGCAATGTTTCGAAGCGCAGCCGAGCTCTGGGGTCGGGTCCCAGCTTTGCCACTTACTGGCCACAGGGTCTTGGGCCAAACGTTTGACGTCTCCCAGCAATAGTTTCTCACGGCAAAGGAGAGAACTAATAGTCCCCTCCCAGGGTCACCGCGAGCCCAGACTCCACTGGGGAGTATGAGGGACTTGGTTCACACCTGGTTCAAAGGAAGGGGTCGCTTAGCTGATCTTGCCCACCCCTAAACTGAGCCGCGTCCCCATATCCTCACTGCTCGGCGACAATTTCAGGCCTGGTTCTCGGACTCAGGGCACTACCAGGCTAGAAGAGATCGGACCATGCCCCTGGAGGAGCTCCCCGGGCCCCAGCTGGAGCTCTGGTCCCCAAAGCAGAAAGCGCAATGTTTGTCTTTCTTGCTTTTCTTCCGTCCCTCGTCCAACTACCACAGATGTGGATGAAAGGTGAGCTGTCTGAACTCCGGAGGCCGCAACTCAAGCTGCCTTCCAGTTTTGAAAGAGTCCAAAAGTATTCTGACTCACCTCTAGGTCTACCAAATCTAAAAAAAACTACAGGACATAAACCCTAATTCACCACCTCTGTTAAGAAGAGGGTTCCCGGGACAGGCCTCTCCATCTGCAGGGCCTTGGGGGATCCGCAAGCAAAGGGCGGTCCTCTCTGCTCGTCCTGGAGGGCAGCTCTGCCAGTTGCTCCCGCCTGACTCTTGGCCTCATACCTCCAGCCATACACTGGGCAGACAGAGGGTCTGAGGTCCATGCCGTTGTGCCTTGCCCGGGGTGGTAGGGGGGCGGGGACATAGAGGGACTCAGGGCGCAGGCTCCAGGCCCCATAGGCTTGGGCCCATAAGGCATTTGCCTTGAGCCAGGAGTTACCTTGCTTCATAGCCTGAAGGCGTGGGAGGCAGCAGATCTCGTCACTCTTGGAGATGAGGTTCAGTGGTAAGGAAACTGGGGATTCACCACCCCCTCACACACACAGAGGCACACGCACACACATAGAGGCACATGCACACACACAGAGGCACACACACACACAGAGGCACACATACACAGAGGCACACACACACAAAGGCACACACAAGCATACATGCACACACATAAACAGGCACAGACAGAGGCATGTGCACACACATACACATACACAGGAACACACCTGTTTTGGAGAAAGAGGATGGAATCATGGGGTTCTGTCAAAGCCTCTATGGCTTACCTGGCCTGGGCCCTCATTCTACAGTTAAAGAAACTGAGGCCCAGAGAGAGAAAGGACTATACATCAAAGGTCACACAGCCTGCTGTCCAGTCTTTGGCTTCTGGCTATCTGGCCGGGTCACCAAACAATGGGCGATCAAAGCCCTGGCCTGCCTTACCCTGTGGCCAGCAGTAGCGGCTCTGTGTGCGAAGCTTGGAAACGGCTGATAAAATGGGTGTTCTCAGCCCCTGGGCAGTCACAGGATTCTCATTTGGCTGCTGAGGGATAGAGAATGAGGCCACACTGGCTCCTCAGGGGGCCCGGAGGCTGGGGTGAGGGGGGAGCCAGCCCAGCATCCAGAGGCCCCTCCAGGCTCTGTGATTCGGTGGGGTGCAGGCACCCTGGAAGGCGTGAGTCTCCCATCCTACAGACGATAGGAGCACGGAGGGACAGGGCAGGGAGCTGTGGCCCTCAGCAAGTGAGCTGAGGAAAGACAGAGGGCATGGACTTTGGCGTCAGACCCACGGGGTCCAAAGCCTGACTCAGCCACTGGCTGGTTTCCATGACCTTAACCTCACCGTGTCTCTGCTTCTTCATCTGTAAGATGGGAGCAGTCACACCTACCTCGCCTGTTGTGCTGAGGAGTAGACGCTGTGTGTGGTCCTCAGCGAGATAGTGGCTCCCGCGTGGTCAGCTGTCGATTGCATTTCATAACTTTTCTATGTAGGCGCCTTGTACCTGTGTAAAGAAGTTCTGAAATGTAGCAGGTGTTTGGTATGTGTTAGGTTCCTCTCCACTGGGATGCCGTGAGGATGCGTGATGGCGGCATCTCCCGTGGGCATGTCCCTCTCTCCTTCCCCCAGAAAAAACCCTGGCACTTTGCAGGGAAGAACCACGGGGGTGAATCTTAGCGTATCATCTCCCAAGGTCCCTGTGTTTTAAGAGATCCAGGGGGATCCCAGTGGTCATCGTGGGATGAGCAGGAGGCCTCAGACCACTGGAATCACCCAGGCCAAAACTCCTGGGGAAGCCTGGACTCGGTTTTCCAGGGACATTAATCCACATTCCTACACTTTGACATGCAAACGTAGATAAACGTTTTTCCCATTACTGAGCTTAATTTTGATCATAAGCCAAATTTGCCCATATATTGCCTCAGATAATATAAAATTTAGTCTGATAACTTCCAGATAAACTTAGTCACTGCAATGATTTCTAAGTTGTTTTATGCTTAAACTCGATTAAAATCACAATTTCTCTCCTTAGCCGCCTCCTCTCAGAGGTTGGTTCTCACTTCGGTGTTCCAGGCAGTTCCCCAGAGCTGATGTATCGGGGTCCAGGGCTCAGTCTTCGTTTACTGTGTGGGGGTTCATGCCCCGTCCTTTGGCTTGCCTCCCTAATCAGGACCCTCCAGCCCTCAGTCTCACCTTGTTCTTGCTGAAAGATCTTGGGGTGCATCCCATGGGAGGATGGGGACGCCCAGTGGGGCTGCCCATGCCCCCAAGTAGCTGTCACTGAACCTCTGGGACTGGCGGGCCTCCCAGGGCTGCAGACAGAAAGCAGGATACCGGTCCCTCTACTCTCGTTTATGCAACATCACTGGGGCTTCTCGTGTCCACTCCGCAAAAGATTCAGCCCAGCTAATGGGGAGGGGAGAGGGTCCAGGCAGAGTTCCCCCACCCCGCCCCCAGCTTTCTTCCTCCCTGACCTGGAGACCATCTCGATCCTGGAGGTTGGTGGGGGGAAAAAAAGGAAAGAAAGGAGGTAATTAGTCTTGCCTGATCATATCTCCCAAATCGTTCCATCTTTAACTTTTTAAAAAATGTAACAGCCTCAAGTTCGACATCTTTATTCGTCCTCTCGAGGCTCCATGGCTGAGGAGTGTCCGGAGGTTAAATCATCAGCTAGTGCTTGCCTGTCATCACACAGCCCCAGCCAGAGGGGCTGAGTGTAAAACGCCCACAGGAGCCAGTACAGAGAAGTTGGAACCTGCCATCCCCTGCTGCGAGCTTGGGCCCAGAGCCAAAGTGTGAACTGCGCAGGGGAGAGGCTGAGGGCTGCCTCCTTTTTCTGCCAAGGAAATGGAAAAGATGATGGTCTCTCAGCTCAGCCCCTTCCCACAGCCTGGCTTTCTGTATGGCCCCCCGGCTGGCTCCTTACAGAGAACTCCCCTAGATCCTGCTCTGGGCTCTTCCTTCCTTCACGAGGCCCCTGCACCCTGGTCCAGAATGAGAGTGTAGAGTGGGGTAGCCTTGGCTTC